GGCTGGCAGCCTCCACCGGCTTCCTTTGGCACTTTATTGGCAAAGGCGGTGACATTTCTTTCAGTTGGGTGGGTGGAGCTGTTATGCAGACTCTCGCTCTCCTCATTCGCCAGATGAATATTCATGACTCAGGCAATCTGTACCAGCCAGACTTTCCTGAGGGCGGCAGCTTTTCTTCTCTTCCTCTCTCTCTTTTTCTTTCTCCTTCTCTCCTTCCCAGCTCTTTGGAAAGCTGGAGTACAGCTATATTTAATTTACAAATACGGTGCTATTTAGCTTGCCTTTTGGGGTTCAGGCACTGAGGAAGAGATGCCGGGGATGGGAACAGTGGTGGAAACATCGGTCCCTGACCCTGAGCTTCCTGGTCCCAGTGCCGGGCACCCGGGCCCCAGAGCCTGGGAAGCCTTATGGATCTCGGGCTCCCTGGGCGCTTGGCATCTTGGCGCCCACGTGCCTGAAGGTGCAGCAGCTTTGTGCTACCTCGTTCCGCACTGACCGCTGAGGTCAACACGGACATCTGAGACACTGATGCCTTCCTGCCCAATGCACAGCAGGCCCCGCCCATATATGATTGCTCCCTACTATGCTTCTCCTGCTTGTCAAGGCCCACTCAGACCCTGCTCCAAGCCCAGGACAAAAACCCAGAAGGCACTGGGGCATTTGCTAGTCATTGCTTTCCTAGAGGAAGAACCAGTCCCCACTTGGGGTCCCTGTTCTCTGGGGATACACCTGCTCCCTCTCTAGGAAGGGTGGCTACCTGCTTTCTTTTGTCTCCTCCCAGAGAGGCACCAGAAACTCTGGCAAAGGGCTCAGCACTTCCAGAATTTGCCAGGGAATTTGGTCTTAGTTAGCAAGGATGTTCTCGTGTATGGTGTATGTCTTGTGTGTGTGTGTGTGTGTGTGTGTGTGTGTGTGTGTATGTAAATATTTACGCACAGCTTAAGTGAGTCTGTATGCCTACATCTATGTTCAAGTGTTTGAGTGTGTGTCTGTATGTGTAAGGGCGTGAATGTGTATGTGGCAGGAAGTCTGGGAATGTCTGCATGTGCGAATGTGCCTCTCCAGTTAGAGTTGCGTGTGTATCTCTGGGCCTGGGGTGTTGTGTGTCAGGGTGCCCCGGGGCTGGGGGGAGGGGGCAGAGGCTCGTGTGCGGAGTGTGTATGGGTGGATGTGCAAGTGAACTGTAGATGTGTGTACAAATGTATGTGTGCATGTGAGAGTCTAGAGGAGAGAGAGAGAGAGAGAGAGAGAGAGAGAGAGAATGATTCCCCCTGACCTCTATTCCCTCCCAAACCTCCTCTAGCGAAGTGGAGGGAGATGTCCCCCCCGCCCCCCCACTTTGCAAGTGTTACAGATTCTATCCAAGGACAGGAACAGAAGGCTTCCCAGCACAGAGCGTCCTGAAATTACTTTATATTCCCCCCTCCTTGTTTCGTCTAATCAAAATAGCAGCGTTGGGCTCACCCATTCTCCCTGCCCATCCTCTCAGCCCCGAGGGAGGGAGGGAGCGAAGCGGGCCATCTTGTCTGACCTCCTCGGGGAGCACCTTGCGGCCCCAAGCCAAGGAGCTGTCTTCCAGATCTCCCCGTTCCACGGCCCATGCTTCAGTGGCAAGAGCCAGCTGCCTCCCCGCCTGCCAGCAACCGCCAAGCTCTTCCAGAACCCACATCCAGGCTCAGCCTCATTTACAAATATGCAAATTTGCATCTTTTCTGGTATGCAAATGGAGACATGACAAATAGCTAATTAGGGTCAAAAGAAGCACTCTGAACCAATTAGTTGTAGGGCCGATTCCTTTCTGCTGGGAGGAGGCTGGCCTCTCCTGCCCCCCTCCATCCCTGGTTCCCCAGGCCCACACATGCTGACCGGTCCCGTCTGGCTGGGGCCACGGACGGGGAAAGAGCACGGAAACAGGAGCCGATGCTTGAATCACAGTCCCACTCCGGCTGTTAGCTGTGGGACCCTGGACGTACTCACCGCAACCTTGTGTCTCCCTCTGTGAAGCAGCAACGGCAGTGACTGTCTTACCCTAAACCTCCACACCAGTGAAGTGAGACTTCGGGGGGATTTGGACGCCAATAGCCTCTGGGAACTGTACTAAAATTCCTCTGACAGGCACGTCACTTGTGTTCTTCCAAAGTATTCGGCCCTTGATTTCATGCAATCGTCACATCCACCCTCTGAATTAGATGAATTAGATGTAGCGACAGCGTGGCAGCGAGTTTCATCCTGGGTGCCAACTCTGGCCAGTTATGCATGTCTGCCTGGAGCGGTGCATTGAGAAGGATTTCAAGGCCAAGTCTGCATTCCCCAGAAGAGAGAGACTGTGATCGATTAATGATGTCTGCCGCGGGCAAGTGCTTGGACTCTGGCAGCTCATGTGCTGCACGTCTGCTGCCCAGGAAAGATGTGGAGTTGGAACCCACCTGGGTTCCAGTCCCCTCTGCCTCCCTGAGTAGGTGACGTCCCTTTCCGGAGCTCCGCTACCTAGTATAACCTAGGGATAATACAGCTTGTGTCTCCGAGTTATTTATTGTAAGGAGGCAAAACCCTTCTTTCATCTGGGAGATGATATGGACACTTAGTTGACACGTCAGTGGGACGGGCACGCTGTCCCATTACTGAGGCCGGGAGCCCAAGGCCTGTGGAGGGTGGATGACTTGGAGGAGAGGAAGCCAGCAGCCTTACCAGGCAGGCCTGCACGGGCGGCCGGGGCTGCTCTTCTCTCTGCCACCACAGGATCTTGGCTCCCTCTCGCCTCCCCCGCGCTGATGCCCCAAGCAGGCTGCAACAAGCCCCACTGGCCTGGCTCCACTTCTGGGTGTGAAGTTTGGCTGAGTCGGCACCTGGGAGAATGGGGCAATTGCCATCCTGGAGCCCGGGGCCTGGCCCAGGGCCAGTGGGCGGACGAGAGATGGTGGGAGGGCCTGAGTACCAGGGCGCCACGGCCAGAGCTGGGCAGGCTGGCAGCAGTGGGTCAGGAGAACACCTGGCTTGAAGGGGGCTGGCGTCGGGATGCTAGGAGCCCGGGCCTGAGCGCAGCACAGACCCCAGCTGTGTGCCTGTGCCTGGCTGTTGGCAGTGCCCGAGCGTGGCCTTGAACGTGCCTTGTGCATGGGCATGCATCTCGGGATACGTCTGCCAATGTGTGTTCTTATAATTTTCTTTAATGTTTATTTATTTTTGAGAGAGAGAGAGAGGGAGAGAGAGACAGACAGACAGACAGACAAAGCGCGAACGGGAATGGGCAGAGAGGGAAACACGGAATCTGAAGCAGGCTCGAGGCTCCGAGCTGTCAGCACAGAGCCCAATGCGGTGCTCGAACTCATGAACTGCAAGATCATGACCTGAGCTGAAGTCAGCTGCTCAACCAACCGAGCCACCCAGGCTCTCCCATGTTCTTATAAATGGGTGCAGATGCGTCACATGGCAGTGTAAGAATATGTATCTATGTAGTTGTGCACATCTGTGTGTCCATGTGTCAGTGTGTACCTGTGTATGTGAGCCTGCACAACTGTATAGGCGAGCTTCTTGCATGGACACAGAAGTCTCCGCATATGTCTGTCTACACATTTCTACCTGTATGTGGGGGTGTCCGTTTGTATGTATCTTTCAATATCCGTACAGGCATGTGCACACTGGTGCATCCGTATTGGTGCATGTCTGCCCACCTCTGTCGGTATCCGTGGACACGGCTCCACACCTTTCTGTTGGCATCTATGCAAACATCACTGTTAAGCATGTGTGTCCTGTCCAGTGTCTCTGTGCTCCTCTGTGTCAGTATCTCTAAATCCGCCCGTACCTGCATTAGGGAGTGCCTCTGTGGCTGTGCCCATATGCTGGTCCATTTCTGGGTGTGCACCTGGGAGGGTGTTAGTATCTGCTTCCTAATGCAGGCATGGCTGTATCAAGGTGAGCAGGATAGGCTCTTCTCTGTGACTGCCATAGCTCCCTTTTTTCTCTCCATTTTTCTTTCCTCTCCTCCTTCCTTCCCATCTTGCAATTCACTTGAAGGGACCTGGCCCAGGCTGCTGGGGAGGTGACAGGTGAGACTTAGAAGCCCACTTCGGCCTCTAGAGAGGGGCTCCCTACGTCCATCTTCCATGTGGACTCAGCCCCAGAGCCACACAGGCTCCTGGCTTTTTACAATGAAAGTTGGTGCACTCCCACTGGATATTAATCATCGTCCTCAGCAGCAGTGAGAGTGAGCGCTCATGACTTTCTCCTTCCCTTTGCAGCGGCCCTCCCAGCCCTCCCACCTGCGGAAGCGTGGCCCCATCACCTGCTGGAAGATCTGCTGGCTTGGACTTTGGAGCATGTGTGCTCCAGCTCAACTGTTTGTCCGTCGACGGTCCCGCTGCCATCGCTGGACCTTCTCTGGGATTTGACTCGGGGCTGCTCTCCTCCTGTCCGTGTTTGAATTCTAGCCTTCCCGGGCTGGACCTTGCTGCTCAGTTCCTCGGGTCACTCCCAGGCAGCCTCACCTGGATATGGCTCCCCTCCTGTGCCGGCTGCTCCCCAGAGACTGGGGCCGTCCCTGTCTGCCCCAGGCTCCCTAGCCCACGGCCTGGCCCACAGCTGTGCCGGAACACGTGTGTGATGGATGATTCCAGTGCCTCAGCTCATATCTTGCAATCGTCCGATGTCTCCCCTCCCTTTACGGTCTTCTCCTTTCACTGATGGTTTTGGATGGAATTTAAAATAAAAAAGATTGATTAAAAGTTGGAAGCTGTATAAGTGAAAATAAAAGCACTTAAGACCAATAAGTATCAGGGGCGCCTGGGTGGCTTAGTCGGTTAAGCGTCCGGCTTTCGCTTAGGTCATGATCTCGCGGTTCGTGGGTTCGAGCCCCGCGTCGGGCTCTGTGCTGACTGCCAGCTCAGAGCCTGGAGCCTGTTTCAGAGTCAGTGTCTCCCTCTCTCTCTGACCCTCCCCTGCTCACGCTGTCTCTCTCTCTCCTAGAAATAAATAAAACATTAAAAAAAAAAAAGACCAATAAGTATCATTTGAGCTTTAATGGAGAGCGAAAGCATGGTAGGATAGCATTTTAGGGGCGTTTCTCAGCTGGTAAGTGTTCTGACTTCGTTCCCCTTTCTGGGAGCCTGTGGCTAGCTCTCCTCATGGTTGGAACCCTGCCCAGGCAGGCGCCGGAGTGGAGTGTGAAGAACGTGGGCTTCAGGCCTGGATAAACCTCGGTTGACTCACTTAGTGGCTGTGCAGCCGTTCTGAACCTCAGTTTCCTTTTCTGTCCTTTTCTACAATGGGAGAAAGGACCTACTTCATAGTGTGGTTGCAGGGATGACAGCAGATGATGCCAGGGCCAGAAGCAAGGCCTGGCATGCGGTAGCCCCCCTGCAGAACACACCCAGAACTCAACCACTTCCCTCCACCTGCCCTGTGGTGAGCACCGTCATCTGTCCCCTCTCCCCAGTCACCTATTCCCTCCCTGCAACACAGCGATCCCATCAACATTCAAGTCACAGCACGTCATTCGTCTGCTCATAATCGTACTGCTTCCAGTCTCACATGGAGTAAAGCCGAGGTCAGCACAGCAGCCTCAGGGTCCCACATGCTCAATCTCCCCACCTGCCATTGTTGCTATTTCCGCCCTTTCACTTCCCTCCAACCACACTCCCCTCCTTGTTCCCCAAACGTGCCAGCCACATTCCTGCCTCAGGACCTTTGCATGTGCTGTGTCCTTTGCTGGAAGGCTCTTCCCTCAGATCTCCTCATGGCTCCCTCTGTCATCCCCTTCAAGCTTGTATTCAAATGTTACCTTCTCTGGAGCGCCCGACTGGCTCAGTCGGAAAATCGTATGACTCTTGGTCATGGGGTTCTGAGTTCGAGCCCCACTTTGGGCATAAAGATTACTTAAGTAACCAAAAAGATACCTTCTCTGTGAGAAACACCCTGTCCTTTCTGACTTAGTTTTATCCATGGCTCTTAACACACTCTAGTAATACCATACTATACTTTTTACTTATTCATTTTCTATGTTGCTTGTCTTCCCAAGAGAAGGTAAAATCATTGAGAGCAGGGATTTTTGTTGTTGTTTTCACCTGGAAAAATACCTGGCAAATAACGGGCACTCAACACATTTCTGCTGAATGAATGAACTGCTCCTCATTATGGAGAGTGGCAAGCGTCCATCTGCCTGGGCAGCCAGGGGTTGTCATTGTCTGCCAGCTCTGGAGGGACGTTCCTTAGCAAGGCAGCGGGGGTCCTTGGGAGGAAACCTGCCCCATGGTCCTCCTGCTTGGGGGCCGCCGGCTCAGGAGGAAACACCAAGTGCTGATTCTTGACCCAGCCTGAGAGTCAGCACGGTCCTTGTGGGCCAGCCAGAGGTCAGGGCTGCCCGCTTCCTGGCATTCTCTCTCTCTTATATCCATGCGCCATAGCTACAAGGGCATCCAAGGCCAAGGTGGTCCTTCTTGGAGACTCGTACTCAGCTGGGTCTCTCCATGGGGAAAGGGCACTCAGCCTAAGGTGGGTAGTCCCACCAGGCACTGGAAGGCTGAGGGCATGGGCACTAGAAGGGCATGGGATGGGCACTCAGGCTCAGGGAGCAGCACTGGCAGAGCTGAGCAAGTAGGAAGCCCTTGGTGAGGCAGGGAAGGGCAGGCAGAAGGGTGCGGCTGGACTGTGCCTACCCTACCTGGTAGGAGCTTCTGGAAGCCGGGGTTGGGTTCAGTCTGTCTTCGCCTGCCCCTCTAGAACACGTTCAGCCCTCAGCAGTGCCATCAGAGTCTCCTCAGATCCGAGAGTCATCTGGTGCTAGAGTCTCCTCAGAGCACAGAAAAAACACGGTGGTGAAGGTCAGACCTGGGAGTGGGTGTTGGTCTTACCAACCTTTACTCAAGTGGTTTCTTCGAAGGTGGGGGTGGGGAGGCTTCTCCAGAGGAGGGAGATGCACCCGGGCCAGAATGATCTCTCCACACAGCACCTTCATGGCTAAAAGTGGCTTTGTCTGGATTCCGGAACAGACTTCTTAACTTTGTTTGTCTTCTTCGAATGCCACGGATGTCTTTAGCAGGCTGGGGAAGCCTATGGAGCCCTCTCAAACGGTGGAAGCCCATTCTATTGAACTGCACTTCTAAATGGACCCCAGGTTAAAATGACCATTTACGCTCTTGGAAGACAAAGACTCCATTGCTTGTAAAGGGTACAAACCCCGGCCTCTCCTCCTGCCCGCTGGGAAGGTGGGTTTGTGCGCCTCTTGGCCGGCGGTGCTGGGGTGGGGGAGAGCAGCCCTCTCCCACCATACCCAGAAGGCAGAGAGTGGACCCTTAGCCGGTGGGGGGGGTGGGGTGGGGGAAGCCACAGGGAAGGAGACATGCTGGGCTGCCTAGGGGGAAGGAGTGAGCTCCCCACCTCCTGGGGATGGCGAGCTGGAGACCCATCTGCCAGGAGTTCTGGGCTCAGGCTGCGGTGGGGGATTACTTCTCCGGTGGGGGAAGATTTCGGCAGATTTAGCCTGAGGTCCTTTTGCAGGTGAATCGTGGCTGTCGGGTCTTTCTCCTTTACCAAGCCCTGAGCCACCCTGCCACCCCGGGGACTTCCTGCTGACTTCTGTTCGCCAGGCCCACACTAGGGACCTGCACCAGTGCCGCCTCCAGTTTATTTTGAGAGACCGGAGAGAGACAGAGAGCGCGCGCGCATGCGCACACACGTGGGGGAGGGCCAGAGAATCCCACTGACAGTGTGGTGGAGCCTGATGCGGGGCTCGAACTCAAGGACCATGAAATCGTGACCTGAGTTGAAGTCGCACGCTTAACCTACTGAACCACCCAGGTGCCTCCCCCCCCCCCCCCAGGTCTTTTGAAGACATTGGGATTAAGGCTGGGGAAATGTCTTGGCATCCTGAGTCTGTTCCCCCCAGAACCATTCCCCGGGTGCGTGGGGACCTGAAAACCATCTCACGCAGCCTCCCTGCAGCTGTCAAGAGTTTCAGTTCGGAGCCTAGGATGGGGTCCCTCCTTACCTCTGCGGCACTGTGACCGTCCCCAACAGCTTCAGGGCCCTCAGCAGAGACTAACACAGTCTGAAATTGCCTGAGCCACACCCCTGCGGTGTGGAGGGGGTAAATGAGGCGCGGGAGGGTAAGGGCCTCTGGGTGGCAGAGCTGGTTCTGGATCATCAGCACCTGGCGTCCTCCCGCTGCTGAGCAGAGGCGGCCCAAGGCGGGAGAGATGCAGGAGGAAGGCAGCCTTGGGTCCCCCTTGACAAACACATCATGCTTCCCACCTAAACCACCTCCGTGGGTGGGGAGCCGGGGACTGGTCTATTAGCTTTCTCCCGCTGTCCCCCGAGGGTGCATTTGTCTGTTTTGCATTTTTTCCAGGCTGTAGTTAGACAACTCCGGGTCCTGGGGGGAGCGCTGCAAAGAGAAAATGTCAGGGCGACACGCCGCCAAGATAACATTAGCGAAATATCAAGTCCTTTATGATGTCAGGAGGGATTCCTTCCCGCGGCCGAAGCTGCCTAATGACATCATAAAATAGGCCTGCGGCAGCCACAGTCCCCCTGAGTCATCAATCAGGCCTGTCTGTGGAGGACCCGGCACTGGCACCGGGGTGTGGGGGGTAGGGGGTGGGACGCAGGATTGGAAACTTAAAGGGGCCCCAACACAGCAGCGTGGTGCTGAGCCTAGGCGCTGAAGACTCCCATGCCCCTCGGAAGTGTCAGCCCCCTGGGGGCAGGCACGTCCCCCGAGTCCCACCGGGATCCTGAGGCTGGGTTGGCCTGCCACTAATGGCTCCCTGGGAGGCCTCTGTCCAGGCCACAGCAGGAGGGGGGGTCTAAGCCCAGGCTTCCTGTTTGCCGGTACTGTCAGGCACAGACCTAAGCCCCCTCGTCTGGAGCGATGGGGCCAAGAGTCACAGCACTGGAGACACGGAGGAGGTCCTTGACATGCAGGTTGTGTGTCTGCCTGTGTGTGTCCTTCCATTTATATATACCCAGGGGGGCTTGCAATACATAGACTGTACGTGGATGATCCGTGTCTGCGTTTGGCTGGGTGTGCGCTCATGGCTGCAGCCGCTCCTGCCTGCCGCCTCTGTGTCACCCCCTGTCCCTGTGTCTGTGCTCTGATTGTGTCAGATGTCTGTAGAGGCGGGCAAGGGGTTGAAGACTAAAGAAAGAGGACCCCAGAGGGTGAAGGGGGCCGTGGGGTGTGTGTTTGTGTGTCAAGTACTTCTTACCAGCCTTGGCTGAGAACTTGGCACTAGAATCACCTTGGAGGATTTAAAGACCTACCCATTCCCCAGTCTCATTTCAGATCAATTTAAATCTGAATTCCTGGAGGCAGAGCTTAGGTATTGATATTTTAATTTATTTTTAAAAAATATTTTCTTAAAAATTTTTTAAATGTTTTATTTATTTCTGAGAGAGAGACAGCGTGAGCAGGGGAGGGTCAGAGAGAGAGGGAGACCCAGACTCCAAAGTGGGCTCCAGGCTCTGAGCTGTCAGCACAGAGCTGGATGCAGGGCTCAAACCCATGGACCGTGAGATCATGACCTGAGGCGAAGTCAAATGCTTAACTGACTGAGCCACCCAGGCGTCCCTATTTTTAAAAAATATTTTCTAATGTTTATTATTTTTGAGAGGGGGGAGGGGCAGAGAGAGACGGAGACAGAATTCAAAGCAGCCTCCTGGCTCTGAGCTGTCAGCACAAAGCCCAACATGGGGCTAAACCCACGGACCATGAGATCATGACCTGAGCTTAACCAACTGAGCCACCCAGGTGCCCCAGGTATTGGTACTTTTAAAGGTTTCCCAGGTGGTTCTGAAGTGTAGCCAGGGCTGAGGATCATGGTGTCCAGAGACTTGCTAATCCAAGGTGAGGGGGTGGTCCATGGACTAGCATCTGCCTCACCTGGGAGCTTCTAAGAAATGCAGAATATCAGGTCCCTCTCAGACCCCTCCCCCAATCTAGATTTTACTGGGATCCTGCATGATCTGTACATCCATTGCAGCTTGAAAAGAGTAGGGTGGTGCTTCTCAGCTCCTTCAGGTCTAAGAGCTTCTGATTTAGTAGGTCTGGGGTGGGGCCCAAGAATCTGCTTTTCCCAGGGGCTCCCAGGGATGCTGATCTGGGGACCATGCTTGGAGACCCCCTGGCTTAGCCGTTGTGCTGAGGGAGGCAGATCGTAGGAGAGTGAGTGCAGGGGTGCGTGCTGGGGGTACGGGGGTATGACATGGAAGGGGAAGTCACAGTCCCCCAGGCAGATGGTGGGTGGCTTGCCGTCGTCGTAGGTCCTCCATGTCCCTGACCCAGGGACCAGTCTAGGGATGAAGGCGGTAAAGGGAATGGGTCTCCTGAGAGCTGCTGGCATTTGCCCCCCTTTTCTGTTCCCTCCCCCACCCCACCATTGTGTTAAGAAAAAGGATCTGGGGCTGAAAAAATAAATAAAATAAGGGCACCTCACTGGTTCAGTCGGTAGAGCATGTGTGCGACTCTTGATCTCGGGGTCATGATTTTGGACCCCATGCTGGGTGTAGACATTACTTAAAAAAATTTTTTTTAAAAACTTAAAAAAATTTTTTTTTAAAAATATTTTTTATTTATTTCTGAGAGAGAGACAGCATGAACAGGGGAGGGTCAGAGAGAGAGGGAGACACAGAATCTGAAACAGGCTCCAGGCTCTGAGCTAGCCATCAGCACAGAGCCCAACGCGGGGCTTGAACCCACAAACTGTGAGATCATGACCTGAGCCGAAGTCGGATGCTTAACTGACTGAGCCACCCAGATGCCCCTAAAAAATTTTTTTCTTAATATCACAAGGAAGAAGATCCAGGGGCAGACACTTCTTCATTCCCGAGAACCACAGGCCAAAGAACCAGGTTTCCTCAGAGCCCGAGCTCATCAAGATGCCCGCGTGCGCTCTTGGGGCTCAGTCGTTAGGGCGGTCATATCCAGTTCACCCAGGACAATCTCAGCACCTGATCTCAGTGTATGATTCTCAGCTTTTCATCCTCAAAAGTTTGCATGATAAGCCAGGTTCCTCTGTGGCTAATGGCTGCTGGGATGAGTACAGTTTGGTGGAGGTAGAGGCCAGCAGGCCCAGAGGTGGGGTGGGAGGTGACTCAGTGTTCTCCCAAGGGGAAAGCCCTCTGGAACCTGACCCCAGGCTCCATCCTCCTGGCCTGGCTTCCTGGGTGAGCAGAGGGAGGGAGGACAGCTCGCCACCAGCCGGGGACAGGGTTTACTCTGGCGGAGGTGGTATGCCAGGCTGGGGGGCAGCCGGCCCTGACTGTCCATCTGCTGGGGCGGCGGGAGGAAGGGCGTGGGTGGCCGTGGGAGCCGCAGACAGGCAGGCTGGGCTCAGTCACAGCTCCTCTCGCCTCCAGCAGGCTCTGCACTATCAGCACCTCTTCGGGCCGCATCAAGCCAGTGGCGGCAGCGGAGTAACCTGAGGGCTGGGGGAGGAGATAGCGATCAGCCAGAATACCAGAGGTGTGAGGCAGGCATGACCTCACCCAGGGTGTGCCTGCTCTCTGAGCCTCGTCAGGCCACCCTCCCGCCCGCTCCCAGGCACCCCCAGGCCGGCTTAGACAACAAGCTTCAGCCAGCCACAGCAGGGGCGTCCCTACGCTGGGTCCCAGCCAGGGCTCAGGCCAGGTACCTCTGTGGGAGGAGCCCAGAGGCTGCCTGGGGGCCAGCGCTGTGGTTTTTAAGGGCATCCGGGTCCTCCTCCGGCTCCCTGGGCTGGGGCATTTGGAGAAGCTGAGTGGGAGGGCTGAGGCTGGGGAGAGCTATCCAGGACTGAAATGTGGTCCCGAGAGAAGCAGAAGTTGTTCCGGCCCAGTCACCAAGGGAGCTTAGAGACGTGTCTCCCCTTGGGGCCTGGGGTGAAGGCCAGGAAGGGGCAGGTCCTGCATCACAAACAGCAGGGGGTCCTACTGTGTGTCTGGCCTCTGGCCAGCAAGAGCTGATTAGGAAATCCAAGCCCAGAGGAGACTGTGGGAAGTAGTCACTGAACCAGGTGTATTGAAACACTTCTTGGTAACTTTGATTGAGCCCATTGTGGTGAAGCAGGCTGTCAACGTCGGGCGGTTGACTGTGGGCTCCAGTGCGAAGGCCCCCTCTCCCCACCCCCCAGGAGCTGTAGGGGTGCTGCAGAGTCCCTGAGTGAGGTCTCTAGGAGAAAATGCCCCTACCCCTGATGGGCTGGAGCGGAACGTGAGCGGAGTAGCAGCCGTGGGAGCTGGCCCCGAGCCTCCGAGCTGGGGGCTGCCCTTGGACGCTCCCCACTGCCCAGCTCAGTCCTGTCCCTCAGCTGTTCCCACCTAAGCCTGTAAGCACCCTCAGGTCCTTCCCACACACGCTCATCGTCCCACTCGGTCTAGAGCCGCACCCACTCCTGATCTACCTACGCTCGTGCCCACTACCTCCATGCACACCCCACACCCACACCCACACGCACAGGGAGGCAAGCGGACCTCACCCAAGAGCGTTGCACAAACAGCCACTTTGAGATGCCTTTGCATAAGGAATGAATGGATCCACCTGTGTGAGCTGCTGGCCTTTTCTGGGCAGGCTGGGTGTCTGTGGGCTCAGAGTCCCAAACCCAGCAGGGCAGACCACATTTGTCCCAATGCCAAAGGGCTCAGCCCTGTTCCCCACAGTGCCTCCTGGTGGCCGCCTTCCCCCAGCCTAATGGATCCCAGCCACCACCCAGGTGGAGACCCTTTCTTCCATGTGCTTATAAAGGATGTGGCCGTATCACAGTGCGTTTTGTTCTCCAGGTTATTTACTCAGCTCAGCAAATGTTTCCTGGGATTTCCATGTGCCTGGCCCTCTGCTGAGCTCTGGGGTCCAGACACAAGGAGAATAACTCACCATTTCCAAAGAACATCTGGGGCTTAGCAAGTCCCTCAGGCTGGCTCCCGGTGTGTCCTGGGATTACATCCTCCCTGGACCCTCCCCCACCTGTTCACTCCCCATCTGCCCTCACACACACTTTCCTCTGCCACATGACTGCCACCCCTTCTCCTCATCGTTCTCTTGCAACCCCCCCCCCCCCCCGTTTTCCTCTTCCACACTGGCTTTGCATGGATGACATCACCTGGTCATGCCCTGTTGGTTCTGGGGTGGCGTGAGGAGGGTTGTGGAGGCCCCAGTATGTCTCCTTCACTTTCCAGCTTTGGTTCTGAGTGATGCAGAGCCAGGCAGAACCTGGGGGGCGGGTTGTGGTTGACAGGGATGGGAGGGGTGTGATGGGGGAGTGTCCCCACTGGGTTCTGGGTGAAGCTCTTGGCTTTTTGGAGGCTTGAAGCGTGGTGGGAAGTGGACTCAGGAAAGAACGAGAGGGAGGAGAGGGAGAGCGGAGAGAAGAGGGGAGGGAGGGTAGAGGAGGAGGAAGGGACAGAGGAGGGAGATACAAACAAGGGGAGTTAAAGA